TGGCACCAGTTTGGTCAAATCAACCTGTATATAAAGACCACCTGTCTAATGTGAACTTTGGCACCAGTTTGGTCAAATCAACCTGTATATAAAGACCATCTGTCTAATGTGAACAGTGACAGCATGTAAGGCACCAGTTTGATCAAATCAACCTGTGTATAAAGACCACCTATCTAATGTGACCAGTGACAGCATGTTTAGTCAAATTAACTTGTATATGTATGTGTAATGTGTAAGCATGTATTGTATTTTACAGTACTATAAACATGGTTCTGATTCTGGCCATTGTTCCTTCCACCTCAGACATGAATTCAGACTTCTTCAATGAGCATTCACATATGGTGTCTCACCTGTGTACTTGACGGTCCTACACTTCTTCGCGGTACATGCAGGTTATATCCAGTTTTTGGATCCTTCTCACCTCGCAGTGCCGGGTCATCATGAGGTTCGTTACCACGCAGCCAATCAGCACATGTCTCACGTACTGATTTAATAATACTGTAAAACGAAATAGCTTCATACATTTAGAGGTAGAAGAACAGTTGCGTTCAGTGACAGGACTGTAATCCCACCACATGCTATAGGGCTCTGATAAAAACAAAGGAAGTGTTTAAATGTTATTCCAATAATTCTTGAACACATCAAGATCGGTGACAGAGTTTACCAAAAATAAGATAAAATTGTAACATTTAAATGAGCACAGATACATCTTGAAATGAATCCAGATACAGCTTTTCACTGAATGGTAAATAAAACAGTGAATAGTAAATTCTATTGTTTTGGGGGCTAAATGTATAATGAAATTAAACACCAGTATAACGAAGATCAGGGTTTCATACCTGCTTCAATGTCAATGATAATAACGAATGTCATCTTGTTTACCTTTCTATAAGTTTTTTCTTTTTTTTAATCGCTTGTCTGAGTGGATCTCGTAGATCCAGCTGTACAAAGTCTTGTATTTCAGCGTAGATAGCACGCAAGATAGCTTCAATGAAAACACTTTCCATTCTATTCATTAGTACTTGCAATCCCTTTATCATTGCAATGACTTCTATTAATGCAAACTTCTCATCGCTGTTGTAGTTGTACCGTGTCGCCTACAAAGAAAAGCACGTGGCTAGTGACTTTGAGGTACAATGTATATGTAAATCTCCCGATATGGCTAATATCTCAAAGTATCATATGACGATGATGCGTATCATTCACAGTAGTGACAAACTGATATTTCACACTATACGTGACAATATGCACGCTAATCGTCATCAGTCAGTGTGTGCTCGAACAGTACAAGAAACAAACCAAATCGAGCGATGATACCGTTTCTATTGTTGGGATGCGAGAAGTTGAGACTGGGTAACAACAATTAGTTACACTGGTACTCACATGACTACTACGACAATTAGTATCTATCATTCGTAAGTGTAGTTCTGTAAAATTATGATTTCTCTGTTGTTTTGACATTTGTTGGTCATGTGACAAAAAGGTTATCACCTTATATCACTTATTCGTAAAGCTGGCTGATACTTCCTTTTTTTCCACTCATCGATAAATACTATGACGTCACTTGTATCAACCGACTGATGTCAGGTGATTAACCATATAATATGCTAAGAAGTCCGGTGTCAATAATATTGATAGATCTACACCATTGTATTGTAATAATACGAGTGTGTAAAAGACTTACTTACCCTTTCATACTCTTCAGCCTCTTTGGGACATGTATTAAAATAACAGTCAACGGGATGCACTAACTTCCAGGAATACTGCAAACAACCATGGAATGAAGTGAGAATAACATCTTTGATAAACTGATAGAAAATGTGCATTTTTTTTGTAACCGATTTATAATTTCATTACCCAAGGTTATAAAAAAAAACCCACATACAAGGGTATTTACAGGTTGTTAAGGGGGTTTGTAATCCCTGGATTGCGAATAGACCTTGTAAGAGTTGTGTGAGAAGACACAATGTGGCATTGAACATACCAGAAAAAACTATTAACTTGGGTTTATCAATTTTTGCCAAATTAATATTGTCGCCAACAATTTTGTAAAAAGATTTCAGCAGCAAATTAGACATTTTTTTCCCCATGAAATAAATATTTATACTTTCATTTATAATTGAGTTTTAAAATAATACTATTGGATCATTTCAATACCATAAATGACTTTTTTAGGATCAAACAGGTTTCCAAAATTTTTTTGGACAATTTTTAGAACAAAAGGTTTCAAAGATGAACTCACCAATTCCATAACCAGTGACGTCCAGCTAGCTAACAATTGAACTCCTTTTAAAGCTAAGTCACGAAGATGTTTATTTTCTTCATCTGATCTACTGGTCACCTTTTGAGCTGTTGTAACAACCTAAATATAATATTGATAATTATGAAATGTCAATAAAAACACAGAATAAGTACAGTACTATTAGTAAGACCACCATCATTTGTTTGTTTTCCTCTAGCTAGACCAGTTTCGAGATCCTTAGAAACCTTGCGATCTGGTGTAAAAATGTTCCAATCACATTTAGGTTGATTTCACGGCATGAACAGTTGATATCTTATCAGAATGCAGGGAACCAGGGAAACCGGTGAATAAATTGTGCGATGCGGGAACAGACTGATGGCGCTATATCTTAAAACTCATCTATTCAACCATGTGGTGGTAGATGTGACATTTGGTGGCTAACAATTAACTATGATGTTTCTTCTACTAGTCACACCATTGCCTCGTTTTTGTTGTTGTTGTTTCCATGTTCGTACCTCATTGCTATGCTTGGCAAGTTCACTGATATATCGAGTGTGGCTTTCTCGTATATGCACAAGCTGCTCTAGAAGGTTGTACTGGGAATTGGCGTTGGTGTTATTTCCACAAGTCCATCGCGATTTGTTCTCACTATAGTTTGGACCATTTTTAATGTAGCTAAACAATGGTATCTGCATGTCACCGAAAAGTGGTACAACTTCAAGTTGCTGAAAAAGAAAAAAACAAGCCATGCATGGCACAGTCCCCATTAGTTATCAAATTTAAGATACATAGTTTTGTTTATAGTAAGATAGTTGGAACATAAACATGTCAGAGATACAGATCCAGAAGCTGATGCTTGATTATGATGATTTTTCAACATTAAAATGTTTGACATTTAGTCATCTTGTATCTGTTCGTCAAACGAATATTTGTCTATATTGCATCAATTAAAACAAAAAATGGCCACTGGTCGGCCATTTTAAATACATCTGTATATCTATGACACGATGTATAATGAATATATAAAAATTGAAGATAATCAGTCAGATATGGCCTTAGAAACACATTCATTGAAACAAAGTGGCCGCCAATCAGCCATTTTGAATCCGATCAGAAGAACAAAAAGATGTACATCACGGAGCCATAATGTCTAATGTATGTACCAAGCTTGAACAAAATTCATCCATAAACGACCAAGATCCGGTTTCGGAATGCCAGAAATGCTTGATTTTTGATGATTTTTTAGCACAAAAATGGCCACTATTCGACCATTTTGAATTGGATCATCAAACTAATACATCTGTACATCTATGCGTGATGTATAATGAATATATCAAATTTGAACAGAATCAGTCAAAGCATGTCAGAGATATGGCACTAGTAAAACCTCATTAACCGCCAGTTTGCCATTTTCTGAAAAACAAAATTACATGCATCTAGGTTCCATCAGTCAACAGCCCAGATTTGATTCCAGAATGCCAGAAATGCTTGATTTTGATGACTTTGCAGCACAAAAATGGCCGCCATTCGGCCATCTTGAACAGCATCCAAACGGAAATTAAAAACATTTAAAAGTTATTTAGGCTGTATGATCTACTACACTTAGTTAAGTCTTTGACTTGTGCAGTAAATTAAGAAATGAACTGAAACCAAGATATGTCAAATGCTACAAACAATATATATCGATAATACACCTTCAATGGTTGTGCAGCTATCAGACCATTTGGTACCATGCTTTGAACTGGTTGCTATGGGTGTGGTCATGGTTACTAGGGACACACCCATGGTCAATGTTGTTGATTTCAATTTGGTAGTACAACTACATATAGATAGCCTATTATGAAACATATGAGCACATATTGGACATTCTCTTTGTTTTCAAAGTAAACAGACATTTTACATCTAACAACAATGTAACAGAACATCGTTTTCAGTTCTCAAGTGAAGGAAGATTAATTAAAAGGAATACTTACCTTGAAAAATTTATCAATTTTGGCTATATTAATTTTCTTTTTGTTGTCCATTTTATAAATATTGCTAACATTGCTGTCCATTAAAAATAAACAAAAACCCATGACCTAAGAGAGAGAGTTCTACAAGTTAGATATTTGTGACATAGATGCATTCTCAGGTCTGAAGTACAATGGTTGTAACCCAACTAAGCATGTGCTTGTCAAGAGCTGCTCACATAATAACTGCCAAGAACTACGGAATAGAATAATGAGGTAGATGTGCAGCGAACTGATGTGCACTGTTTTGGACCGAACAGATTAAACAAATCCAAACTGTTAATGACCAAAAACTTGATTTACCCGGTATCTATGGAAAATCTCAACTAAACTTCTAATTTGGCACAATTTGGTTAAATTCTAATATACAGAAAGAATCAAAGTTTGGTTAATGTAGTGCAGGTGAAGACAGGTGTATTGAGTACATTCTGGCTTGAGTGTTCAGTTTCTATGGCGATGACATTTTAGAAATTGTCTGGTGACCTTAAATTATTTTAAAAAAACATTTTTTTTTATTTCTGGTATCGTGAACTAAAAATGATAAAAACATTAGAAAAAAAAATTAATACTTAATTAAGCCCTTGTCTACACTCTGCCCCGTAAAACGAAAAAAAAAAAAATTTAAAAATTACTTACCTTGAGAAGTAAATGCTTTTCATTGGGCAGTAAATACATTTTATTTTCATAATGAAATGAACACATGTTGACAATGTCTGCTAACAACTCCTCGTAACCTGGGATCTTCTCTAGATATTCCTTGAGCGTATTTGTTATCTTATCATGGTTAGCTAGGAACATGGACAGTGTTTGAGATTCTTGAATTGACGAAGGATCTGCCATCTTTCGCAGAAACTGAGCAGCTCTGAAACAAGAACATATGCCACATGTTCAATATCATGTTTAATTCTAGTAATCTAAAACACTTCAATTACCAGAATTTGCATGTTTTAATTGGATATAAATAATTTCCTAATTTCAAATTGAGAAAACAAGAAAAAGTCATCTGTTTCGTGAATTTCCTATAAATTCGATGAAGAGGGGACCTACTTGTAATGGCAGTATAGAAAACAAGAATCAGATGTCTGTCTTGGACTAAGTGGTAAATGCTTTGCATCCAATATTTATTTTGTAATATAGTTCATCTATGATTGTTAAACAGTGGAAATCTTACATCTGATTGGGCTACTTGATGACACCCTAAGATACTAAAATATCGATCACAATTAAATCAATAGAAACCCTCAATGATATTTAACTCTAGGCAAGAAATATTCAATGTGCGTATCTATTTCACATGACAAAAGCGTTTCAAACCTTATTATGGAATTGTACATTAACTACTGTACTCAACTAATCAGCTGCATACAAAATCCTCACATTCATTTTTTAGCAATTGTGAGTGTAGAGTATCATAAATTGCTTTGCCAGCTCTGTGGTGTTTCAAAAACTTCTGCACTAAAGTGAGCATATATTGGTGTTTGCTCACAGTATGTTTTAAGTGTACGCAGCTAGTTCGCAAGGACAACCATAAAATATGCTCTAAAATCATCTACATGTATATTTGCAAAGCTACAGAGAATGCACTGGCAATATTATTTACTAGGGAAAGCACTGCTGTATACAGCTCATATCCACACATTTGAAATAGCAGTTATGAGTTATTAACACAATACAGTCCTTAAAAAAAGTCCTGAAAAACATACATACAAGACATACCATTTACATTTGAGTATATACAATGTGTAAGGTATAAAATGGAAAACTGCCCTCATTATTCCAAATCAAAGGAATCTAAGTATAATGGCACATTTTAGTACCTAATTCAAACCATTAAATATTTTAGATTTAATACACATGTTGACTATTTTACTGTGGAATACAAAATGTACTTTCAGTTTGTTTTCACTGGAATCAATTTTCGCTGAAAAGACTTTATTGGCGTTCTTTATGGAATTTATTTTCACTGATTTTTGATGAGGTGAATGTGAAATATAGGAAAAAAAGTAAATTCGCAGGATTTTGTTTTCACGGAATCATCCCTTCAGCGAAAAGTGAAAATAAATTCCAAGCGAAAATAAAGTATTCTACAGTATTTGGACAGATGGTACATGTCCACATTTTATATTTTTCATTCTCAATGTGACATTCAAAATAAATAATAATACGATAAAGCTCAGCGTTCAGACACACACTCAATATCAAGGGCCTAAAGCTCAGGTCAGCAATCAGATTCCTCAGGCCCATAGCCAGCTCTTTTGAATAGGGGGTTCGAAAACAACAATTATATATTTGACGTGAAATGTGTGAATTTTATAATATTCAAAAAGTGTTTTTGAGCTCTGTTACAGACATTTTTATATTATCGATTCTAAATTCAATTGGTTTACTTTGCGTTAATACATTGGTAAGATATTTCACATAACATCTTTGGACTATTTTACCATTTTAGAGAAGGGGTGCTGAGCCATTCCCCACCTACAGACAACAATATCAACACCATTGATCCACTACGGCAAAATGTTGTACACAAAAAAGACAAGACTGTACTTATCTTAGCATTATTGTCTAAGTATTTTAAGGTAGAAGGCTACTTACGAGTTTTTTCACTCTTCGCAGATGTTAGCGCACATAAAAGTGACACGATTTCATGTCGAAATCTGTCTACAATTATTCATTTTAGTATTAGTCAATTTTGTATTATGTAATTTTATTTCTGTACAGGGCCTCAGCCTATTGTACAAAATAATGGGTAGAAAAGTGCATAGCACGTTTTAAAACAATACAACATCCATGTAAACATATGGTACTAAGTTAAGCTGAATTCATATTCATCTCGTCGCTTGAAAACTTTTAACAAGCAGCCTGTCGGCTGAGATAGCTCCGCTGTTGGCAATGCACATTTCAATTAAAGAATTGAAGATATCATTAGAAAATGAACAATATGTATAGCATCAAAGCAAAGGACCTTGCTGTTTTCAACAAGAATTCAAAAATATCACTTTTCACCAAAAATGACAAAAATAATCATAAAAATTAAGTAATTGAAGATATCACCACGAAATTAACAAGGTCCACATGTAATACCTATATATGTAATATAAAAGCAATCAGACTTGCGGTTTTTAACAAGAAGTCGAAAATCTCACTTTTTACCAAAAATGACAAAAATATTCACCAAAATTAGAGAATTAAAGATATCATTACAAAATGAACAAATCTGAGAGAGGTCCACATGTAGTACCTATGTATGTAATATAAAAGCAATTGGACTTGCGGTTTTTAACAAGAAGTTCGAAAATATCACTTTTTCACCTAAAAATGACAAAAATATTCACCAAAATTAGAGAACTAAAGATATCATTACAAAATGAACAAATCTGAGAGAGTTCCACATGTAGTACCTATATATGTAATATCAAAGCAATTACACTTGCGGTTTTTAACAAGAAGTCGAAAATATCACTTTTTACTAAAAATGACAAAAATATTCACCAAAATTAGAGAATTAAAGATATCAATACAAAATGAACAAAT